TAATGGCTGCTTTTCAGCTGCCCAAACTAGTACTAATACCAATACGAATACTAGCACGAGTATACTCGTGTGAACGCTAATGCTCTACCGACACACGACCAACAGGTTGGGTAGTGCCCGTGCTCTGTAGCGGGTGGATATTGTTTGTAGTCTAGTTATATATGGCCCTTGGCGTGAAGACTGTTACAGGGTGGGGGCAGTACCCAACGTATAGTCCCCGATACAAGGTAAAGCGTAAAATGTCCCTTATAGTCCTGGTGTACTTATCGCGGACCCTATCCCAAAGGCTCTATGCTCCATGTACCATTATAGTAGGTGCTTAAGCCTTAAAGGGGTCCCTATATAGCTACTTTAAGGCTTAAGTATATACCATATGGGCACATGGAGCCTTAGGGTATCTTAGGGCTGGAGTCATCAAAGATGGAGGCTCCCGAGCTGAACCTTTGACGCCGAAACAGCAAAAGTTTTGCTGTTTAGGGTTTACGGCTTGGGGTTTAGGGTACCTAAACCCTAAACCCTAATCCCTAAACCCTAAACCCTAAACCAAAACCCCTGAACCGAATCTCCAAGCGCCTATACCTACACCTCCTACGCTCGAAAGCCTGCCTCCAGCCACTCAGCCCCCTTGCTCTGTGCCAGTTGCACCACACGTTGCAGACTGAGAAGACGCTGAAGGCAAGACTTGGGGATTCAGGGCCGGGGGTTAAGGGGCTTTAGGGTTTTAGGGTTTAGGGTTTAGGGTTTAGGGTCTAGGGTTTAGGGTTTTAGGGTTTAGGGTTTAGAGTTTAGGCGAGGGTTTAGGTCTCAGAGTTTAGGGTTCGGAATTCTATTTCGGGCCAGGGAGGGAGTACATCAAGTTTCCCGAACAACAGGGGTCGCTTAAAGTCAAGACACTGTTCAGTGGGCCTAAATGTCAGGTTTAGGAATGATTCAGGGAATTCCCCTTTCCTTGTTGAGATCCCAACTGCAATGAATGATATGAAATTGGTGCAATTTGTTGCATTGAGAAGCACCCCTCATGTAGAACAACCCGAAAAACCTAGGAAAAAAACAGTCAGCAGCAAGCCGTCATGCTGACTCCCTAGAAGCGCAGTTACCTACATGACGGGTTACTGTTCCTGAAGCCCTAGCAAAGCCGCATAGTAACTCTTAAACCCTAAACTTAAACCCTAACCAAACGCAAACTGAACCTCAAACCCTGAAACCTTAAAACCCTAAACCCTAAGCTCTAAACCCGGAACCCAGCAACTGGCCTTCTAGGGACGTTTGCTGGGCCTGGGACGGAAAGTTTGACGTGTTCCGATCTCGACCCCCTCCCCCGGCCTTGATGGCAGGAGTTTGGGGTTTAGGGTTTAGGATGTTGTTGAGACCTCCAAATCCAAAGAAGCAGTATGTATGTATGTATGTATGTATGTATGTATGTATGTATGTATGTATGTATGTATGTATGTATGTATCGGCTGGACTGGCCGCCCGCTGAGGGCGTGATACAATGGGCGAGTTCACAAATCTTCGAAGGGCTGCCTGGCCTGGAACGTGTCCGATCGCGGCGAGCCTCCACGGCTTAGGGTTTTAGGGTTTAGGGTTTAGGGTTTAGGGCGAGCGATCCGAGACATCCAGGAACGGCTGCGGCACAGCCTCCTGCAACTGCTCGCCAGGATGGAGGATGCCAAGGAGCCGGATGTGATCCAAAGAGCCAAGGAGCTGAATTTCTCCGTATAAGACCCAAGCCCCAAACCCGAAACCGAAACCTCGAAACACCCTAAACCCTAAACCCTAAACCCTAAACCCTAAACCCTAAACCCTAAACCCTAAACCCTAAACCCTAAACCCTAAACCCTAAACCCTAAGCCCAGCCGCATCTGCGCAGGTCTCAGTCGATCATGCTGGCCCTCTCGCCTGCATCTCTGCAGCTTGCCTTGAAAAGATTGAACAGACTTCGGATGCTGAGTATGAAACCCTAACCCTAAACCCTTAACCCTTAACCTTATAAGCCTTAAACCCTAAACCCCTAAGAGTCTATCCCTAGGACCCATAGTAGTTCCTTTTTGGGGCTTCTAAGAAGGATCCTATTAGGGAATTCCAAAAAGGAACTACTATGGGCCCTATGGGTAGGGCCTTGGGATTTCAGGTGTGGGGTTGGAGCTTCGGGCTTCGAGGTGTCCCTCTTTTAGGCGGCTCTTAGCCTTTTAGGGTGTAGGATTTAGGGTTTAGGGTTTAGGGGTTGGGGTTTAGGTTGGTTAGGATTTGGGTTCTAGGGGGATTGGTTGAGGGTTTAGGTCTTAAGGTTTAGGGTTTGGGTTTACCGATGAGGGTTTCGGGTCGGAGATTTCCTGACATGGCTCAGCAACCGAAGCTTTGAGGTGGTTGGGTTTTAGGGCTTAGGGTTTAGTGTAGGGGCCTTAAAAACTACCTATACTATTTTTTTTTTTTGGGGGGGGTCCTTATTACAACTATAGTATAATGGGCCGCTTAAAGCCCTATTCTAATTATTAAGGCCCCTATATTCTAGAACCCTTATATTAACCCTTATAGTATCCCTTTTAGGTGACCCCTTAAACCCTAAAGCCCTAAAGCCTAAACGCTAAACCCTAGACCCTAACCCCTAAAACCTAAACCCTAAACAACCTAAAAACCAGCCCCTAGAACCTAAACCCTAACCCCTAGAACCTAAACCCGAAACCCTAAACCATAAACAACCTAAACCCTAACCCCTAGAACCCTAAACCCGAAATCGTAAACCCTCGAACCTAAACCCGCAACCCTAAGCCTAAACGCTAAACCCTAAACCCTAAACCCTAAACCCTTACAGTAGCCCTTATAGAACCCTCTACGGACCCCTTTAAAGGAACCCCCAGCCTAAGCTTCCGGCCCAGGTCCATGCTGACCGGTATTGGGTGACGCAGTCGGCGCGGCACCCATCATTGGCTGACACCATAAGGATTGGGTTTAGGCTGTAGGCTTTAGGCTTTAGGGTTCAGGGTTTAGGGTTTAGGGATCAGGGATCAGGGTTCAGGGTTCAGGGTTCAGGGTTTAGGGTTTAGGGTTTAGGGTTTGGGGGGGACTACTTTAACCCCAAGGGTCCATGTACTCATGGGGAAAACAACTTTGGCCTCTAAAGTACCCACTCTGTATGTA